GCAGGCGCCGTGGTTTCGCATGAGACATGCTAATTAAAGTTTCTATGAGTCAAAATCCGACGAAGTGTTCGGTCCCACGTAGTGTTCGGACAATGTAATTTGCTCTAGAATCTAGCCGGATTCTTAGATAAATCCAGAATATGTTGAAAATAAAAGTAGAAAATTGTTCTTGATTTTTGCCTAACAGCTGCTTTACTTGTAGATTCTAGCTTGTAAATTCAAAATGAAATGTATTTCAATCACAATTTGAATGTCTGCAACCAATTAATAAATGTCATCCTTCAGTACATGCAATATTGTAGCTTTTCTTACTAAATCTAGAATTTACCCAAATTTCAAATTAAACATGACTACTGAATGATAGACATCCATATTTAATCCATTAGGGCGGACTAATTTTGAAGTTTTTAGTTCGTTTTAAACTAAATTACTTAATTTAATATTTGACACTCACTGTCATGGTAGGCCGTTCGGTTCAACGCTTCCGGGTTTGTCATTTTCGTGGCATCTCACGGCTCATGCGCTTAATAAAAATGGCGACCAGTTTCGCTTTCACTAAACGGTAGAGGGATAAAACTAATAATTACGAGGCCATCGTTAATTTTAGACATCGGAACTAGAGGAGTTTACACTTTTCGGACACACACCAAAAATTACGTAGGAGCGAACACTTCGTCGGTTTTTGGCTCATAGAAACTTTAATTAGCATGTCTCACGCGAAACCACAGCGCCTGCATGTAAACTGTTCATTTATGAACACTTCCGTGTCAAGTACTTCCGTTTCCTTTCTCAAGAATTATTTTTAGAAATTTTTTAACGTTGCATGGTACGCACATTTCTATTTTTACACCAGCCGGATGAAGTGACCTAGTGTTGGACTTAGGGGCAAAACTTGAACCAATCAATGCTTAGCTAAAAGGTTATACTATAAATAGCTTCTATATATGCATGGAACATCGTAAATGTCAAGGTTAATGGGTTTTTTGTGCTTGAACAATAAAAAAGGGGTGTTCGCTAACTTATTTGGCCTTACATGGGAGCGGACAGCAACACAAAAATATTATTTAAATAAGAATTTAGAGCATAAAAGGGGCTGGTTATTGAAGGGAAAGGGTCAAAATAAGGTCAAGAAGGCAGTGGAATGCGAAAGAGGAGGGGGAATCATGTGACCTGGCTGGCTTAGCAGCGTACTGCGCGAGCCGCAATGGCTGAATGGGATGAACTTTGGGAGTGTGGGAAAAAGGTTTTATACTATTAAAATTACCTCACAAACAATCAATAACACAATGTAAATGCATATAATATGTTTTTATTCATTAAATTGACTTTAAATTATTCTAAATGAACAAAAAGTGCTATGTCCGATGACTGGTAAAGGTGTCCGAACACATGTAAAACTGTATTACATGTGTTCGAACACACGTTAAGACCCCCCAGTCACTATAACAAGAATAGCTTAAGTTCTATGCGTATGAATACAAAATGACACACACATTATTAAAGTAGAATGGTTGCGGATAGATATGATACTTTTTTTTGTTTTCTATGTTAAGCGGTTACTGAATGAGACCGCATGGAATTTTTACGTTGCGTTTTTTCGCTATGTGTGTCCGAAAAGTGTAAGCTCCTCTATCCGTTTCTATTTCAGTCTGTTATTTAAGAATTCCCAGATGTACTTTTGACCTAATTTCTTTGTTTGTCTCGCAAGCGACGCGTTAGTGAAAATAGCTCTATGAATTCTTGTCTTTTATATCAAATAACTCTTACATATCGCTTCCAGATGCAAACCAGCTTATGTCAGATGTAAACTTTAAAGTATTAATTTTACACACGTTACCATTAACTGGTAATAATTTGGTGTGTTAATGAGATATGTGCGTGGGAAAACGATCACCCCCCCCCCCCCCCCATAATGCCATTTTATTATAATCTTGCTTAGTGAAAACGAGGCGCGGGAAAATGTGTGCTGCGCAAGAATCCAATCATTTGGCTAGATTTATGACTGTTTTTTTTATGTCACACCTAAAAATAGAATGTTTGCGCTTTCTTCATTGATGATCGTTTTTATAACTGAAAGTATGGATTATTAGTTAGATTGCAGGTTTTGTAACTTGGTATACTTACCATTTATCAATTTTAAAAGCATAGCATCCTGATTGTGTACAAATATACTAATATAGTCATAAAACACAGAAACATTAAGTTATAATTGCGATGTGCCACACCCCCTCAAGAAAACATGTGTTTATTAAGCTGTTTATCTCACTTTACAGCAGTAATTAGGATTAATTTTCAAATTTTTATCACTTATTGGGTAAGATTAAGCACATGTTTACTAAAAATAAAAAAAAAGATAAAAGCAAATTCTGTTTTAATGAAGGTCACGGGTCAAGTTTTTTTCCTTCTGTCAAGTTCATTGGAGGTTGCCACAGACTGACCTGACTTTGGAATTTTTTTCAGTAATAATGACTTTACACAGAAAGTTAAAATATGCTAAATTAGCTTAGTTTACTAGTGTTCTAGCTATTATTGATACATTTTTAATAAAAAAAATCATTCTGTAATTCTCATCAAAAAGCCTAACTGCCATGGACAACACATCTCTCCATGACAACTGAAGGCACTTGAAGCTAAATAGAACCACAAATGCGGTTGGACTTTTTAAGTGGCCATGTACCCAGAGTTCCCCACTAGTGATCATCAAATAGCGGTCACGTGGTCAAAAAATTTTAAAAAAAATGGTTATTTTTTGGCCACTCTTATAAAAAAAAGGGTTGACTAGAGTAAAGTTCCGCGTGTGGTCACACATAGCAAAAAATTCCGAACTCCCGATTTTCATCGGGCGCTATTTTGTAACTGTTTCACACAGAAACAAACCGAAAGTACTTTATTACTCCACTGCCATTCTACTCTAATATGCATGAGTTATTTTGTATTCATACCCATAGTATTTGAGATATTCATGTTTTAGTGACGAACCTCCTTGTGATCTACTTTTCCCCCCCTTTTTTTTTTTTCCTGTGGTCACCTGTCACTGCTTGTGATCACTAAGGATTTTTTACGTTTTGGTCCAATTTTAATAATTGAAATAAACATTTTACTCATTTAAACGTGTTGATGATTGTATAATTAATTAATAGATTTGCAAAACCAAATAATAACACGTTAATTAAATTTATTAACTACAAATTACGGATGACCCAGTGATGACTCAAGGGACGCAACTATTATAATCATAACAAAGGGACGCAACAATCCCAACAAGACAAAACGTAACATTTGCTTCGATTGGATTGTATGTAGAGACACAAAGTAGATTTAGAAGAAGTAGATGATTAAAATAATTTAAAACAACAGAAAAAAATAGAAATTATATAGGTTCTAGACTTAGCTTGAAATATAGAGCATCTAGATCTAGGCTAGTCTAGCTTAACCATTAATGTCCCATTCATTCTACCAAAACTCCACCCATGACGGCCCAATGTAAGGAGCATAACTCTGTATGATCAAGTGAATAGTTTCACAAAATATTTGTTTTTGTCTAAATGAAATTGAAAATTAAGATAAAAACTACTGCTTAATGTTGGGAATAAACCTGGCTTTCCAACAGTATTAAATAGAATATATTATATTCGGTAAAAGTACAGTAAAAAAATAAAAAATGTCGGAGAAAATTCAAAACAGGTCATTTTCGGTAGTCAACTTTATTTATTTTTGTCTAAACAACTAAGCATCGAATTTAACAGTTAAATATCAATTTGGTTATGTTTAAGATAAATAATTCATAAAATACATGCCTAGATACGTTTAGAGGCATTATTTTATTTTATTTTTAACATTAAATCTACTAAAAAAGGACAGATGAGTCTAAAATTTCGAGATCAAAAGAAGCTATTATTTTTTATCTTTCAAAAGCGCCATTGAAATTATAAGACCGGAAAAGGATGGTGAAACTATCCGACTTCCTGTTTAGTTAAAAATTAGGATTTGTAGGCCAAATTTTAATGAAATAAAAATTTAATTTTTCTATGCGTATTTTAAGCGGGCGGCAGCGGGCGTTATGGGACATTAACGGTGTCGGGCGGCAGCGGGCGTTACGGGACATTAATGGTTAAGTCATTGGTGACCACAGCGAGGTTAAAACACAAAAATCGTTACCCCAGCTGTGATCACCCCCATTTCACCACTAAGATTCTTTTAATAGCCTTAACTACAGTATTTTCAGTGTCCCGCACATAAATAGAAGCTATTTATAGTTAACCTAGTTATAAAAAGCTTTGATTGGTTGGTTTTATTCATCTCATACGGGGGAACTAGAATCGCCTACGACGTCATACCTCGAAACTTGAAAATTTAAAAACTCATCTTTCAGAAGGAGGGAAACAAAAGAATTTGACCTGGATATATTTAGAAATGGACATGTTTACAGCAGATATTGGTAGTTTCGTATAAAACATCCAAACAAATATATGAAGCCATAAACAGGAATGTGACTACACCGTGGTTTTGACCACACGCGGAACTTTACTCTATATTTGATTTATTTTTTCATAGACTGATAAAACTAATAATGCTTTAGTATGGAAATCAATTTTGTAATATGGAAATCGATATTTAAAAAGTTCTAGTATTTTTGATGAAACCAACTTTTAAATTTTGCCTTCATTCTCCAACGCAAATTTTAAAATGCTTTTCTGGCATATATAGCCCTGCCACCTATAGCTTGTTGTTATAACGTTAAAGTCCCGCCATTTTGCGCGTGGTAAACATTTTAAAAACTAAATAGTAGAAGGTCTCTGGAATTTGGCAGAAAAATCGTCGGAAGTCAAGCGTCCGGTCCGGGCGCCATATTGTTGTTAGCAACCGGCCACGCCTCCGGGTTAGCGAGAAATACTACAATATTGTGACTTGATATAAATCCAATATTTGACGATCATTAAAAAGTTGTTTACAATGTTAAAAATTGTTGCTTCTTCAACACTATCTTTTTATTTCTTCAGTAAAATCAACAGAGATTCACTTCGTGAGTCAATTGATGCTGTACTCAAGTATTCCAATGAAACCAAGAAACGCAAGTTCACGGAATCAATTGAGCTACAAATTGCCTTGAAGAACTATGATCCCCAGAAGGACAAACGTTTTGCTGGAACAATCAAGTATGCCTTGAAAATCTAATAACCCTTCTTAAAAGATGTCCATTACCGTTTGGCTAAAATTTTATATTGGAAAGATATATTAAATTTTAATATTTGGACATTTTTTTAGCATGGGTAGTTGATTGGTATTTCCATCAACGGGACCTCACCCAAGGTCTTAAATCTCTGGGTAGGTGTGGACTCTGTCCATGCCGCCCAAAAATTGTTTTCAAGGCATGACCTTATCCGTTGGTGGTAAGTGAATGTGTGGTGACCGGATACTAGATTTACCTATGTAGCAGAATGCTGGTCTTGTGTTGTACTTAATATACCCAATGATGGGTGGTTGAGCGGGGTTACTCATATGATCCTAGGCTCTAATTCCAACACCCTTTGGTCCACTGGACTCGAATCAGGTAAAGGCAACTCTGCACTCCTTCAGTGAAACATTTCTTTTTTGAATGCAAGATACTAGAGGGCTACTTTCACAAAATCAAATTATTGTAAATGGTGTGCTTGGTTGGTTTTTAATATTCTAACCATTGCCGTACCATACTGGGTAGTTTTCTTTTTTCAAAAAAAAAATGTCCTAGCATCAACTCCTGCAGAGCTTAGTAATGTAAAGTATATCCATATTCTATTGCAGATTGCGTAATATCCCCAAGCCCAAGATGAAGGTCTGTGTTCTTGGTGATCAAGTCCATTGTGATCAGGCTAAGGCAAACGACTTGCCCCATATGGATATTGAAGCTCTAAAGAAACTCAACAAAGACAAAAAGCTTGTGAAAAAATTAGGTTTGTGTTTAACACATTGGATCATGCTCAGGATTGATCCAGAGTTGTTTCTTGCTTCCTCTGATGTATTATGCATGTATTACCATATAATAATGATGAATCCTTTAACTGAGGTTGCAAAAATTACCTCGTACTTTGTTCTTGTTTTCATATTTGTATTGACAGTTGTCTTTTCTTTTTTTAGCCAAGAAGTATGACGCCTTCCTTGCTTCTGAGTCTCTGATCCGTCAAATTCCCAGAGTTCTAGGGCCGGGTTTGAACAAGGCTGGCAAGTTCCCCGCACCAATTACCCACAATGACAGTCTTAATGCAAAGATTGAAGAGACCAAAGCCACCATCAAATTTCAGATGAAAAAGGTGCGCGCTTTATATATTCCAGATATTACTTTGTTTAGGTCTTGTTTTTTGATTTGTTGACATCATATCTAATGAAACTATTCTCCTACAGGTACTTTGTTTGGCTGTTTGCATTGGACATGTCAATATGAATTCAGAGGAGCTGTACCAAAATGTTACTTTGGCTATCAACTTCCTGGTGTCCCTCTTGAAGAAAAATTGGCAAAATGTGAGAGCGTTGTATATCAAGAGCACTATGGGTCCAGCTGAAAAGATATACTAATTCTGAGAGCACGATTGTGCAATAAAATCATATAAATTAAAGAAAGCTCTTGTTTTTGTCATTTTTACTGGTACCACTGCAGTTAAAAATAATTTGCCATTTTGTGTCAGCCCCATTTATTTATGGTTGGTCTATACATCAGCCAATAAAATGAAAGCCTGAGTGGTCGAGTCTGTAAAGCTCATGGTTGCTAAACCGAACAGTCTCGAGTTAGAACCCTCGGGCAGATGAGGCTTGTTAGCTGGGGACAGCCACTCTTCTAGGAGAGAACTCCAAATTTAAACAACTGCTGCCTTGTAGTTTGTTCTTGGTTGGACAAAGGCTATGGAAGCAAATCCAAAAAGAAAAGCAGGCTGAAATCGGACTCAATGGCGCATAACCAGCTGACACGTAACGCTTGTGTTGGAGGGGTGGTTGAGTCGGCAAAAAGCTCATGGTTGATAAATTCGAACAAAGTCTCGAGTTCAAACCCACTGGCAGATAAATCTCTATCCCCTTCCACACTAATATACTAATAATTAAGAACGAAGAAGAAGAAGAAATCCTGAGTTTAAAGCTGAGTTGAATCATTGGTGAGTCCCCGTCTGGTTAATTATTGGATATCTGTGCAGACAGGACTTTTTGTTTAACTGGTTTATGAATGAACATTATTATGAGGCATTGATGGGTGTAGGACAAAAGGCCGACAAGCATAAAAAATATCGCAAAATGTGTTACTGCATAGCTTCTATCTTGGCAACCATTGAAATAAGGTGAAACGTTCAAGAGAAGGGACAGCTAATTGCTATTCTTACAAGGTGAACCATCTGGTCAAGCAACTGGAGATAACGGGAGTGTCTTAAACACAAAGGATCTACACCTAAGTACTGCGAAATGCTGTCTACTGTCTTTCATACCTCCTTCTATGTCAAAGGGGTGAGATAATCATCAAAGAAAGTCAAAAGCTGCCGGCATTATCGCCCACATGCAACAAGGTGGAGGTGATTGGCCTTAGTGATATAACAAAGAAATGTCATTGAGGCATGAGTATTTTTTTTAATAGTATTGTCATTCATCACTGGTTGCTTTCAACATCAATAGTTCCACACTGTTGTGATGTTTCTGTTATACTGCTGTGTGTGGTTGTCATCTGTCCTGGCTAGGACATCTCCCATTTTAAATGCAATTACCTGAAAAGTACATATTAAAACGCATCTAATAGTATGTTCCAGTTTTTAAGATATTTGGTTTGCACTAGCAGGTCAGTTGACAGAATAAATACAATGAACTATAGATGAAGTCTTGTTTCTGCTGCAATAATCAGTTATTACATGGACCTAAAAGTACTAACAATTAATGGATTTTGTATACTAACTTTATCATCCACCTTATCATTTGCAAAGTTTTCATTGAACACATAAGCAGAACCCGGTCTGGATAATGTTTTCAAGTATGGAACTGGATTCTGTGGATCCCCAGTCTCAACCTGCAGTTATCATAGCATAGTTGCATAAAGAATTATACAATTACAATACAGTTATGTAGCAATTATACAAAACTGTGTAACAGTTGGGTGTAGGTCCTTTAAAAAAAATATAAATTCCTTCACTTGAAGTTAAGAATGTCACATGAGACATTTCAACAGTATAGACAGTCCAAAATTTTGTTTAGCCTCTACAGGCTATACTCTTCGTACTCATATTTAATACCTGAATGTTATCTCCCCTTTTATTATTGAATATAGTCTTCTTTAGGTTACTTTTTTATATGGCTTATTGAAATTGTGTTCCAAAGTTCTTGTTAATTAATCTTGAACAGTTAATTTAGAACAAAACAGCTGCATTATATGAAAGATTATTTAAAGGATTTGAACACAAACCGACTTCACTAGAGTTAGACATTGTCACCACTGTAGGTAAGAGAATTAGACAAAAAAGTTTACAAAAGATACCTTTTTGATAATATTTTTTTGTATCAAGTCCGCCTTTGGTGTTCGTGAGCATCCAGCAGCTGTGGATTTCAAGAGTCAACCTTTTAATCTTAATAACTCACGCCCCTACATTAATCACATTATATTCAAACTGGTTTTAAAAAAGACTGTCAACACTGAGTGGCTAAGTCATTTTTTAAAAATGAGTTGCATTATCCAGCAATCTTTTTTTATGCCTCTGTCTTCCAAATAATTTTTTACTATGTTTAATGTAAGTGTGGGCTACTTGAATAAGTTGCATACCGGCAAAAAAGGCCCATATTGAATCTAGTGCTGAGGCAAAATCTACTGCTGTCCTGTAAATCAAAAATGTTCTATTATTTACCTTCTGGTTTACATTATTTTTTAACTAGGGGTAAATGAAACTAGGGCAATGTGACAAAAGAAACAGCATTTGACTAAATTCGTTTTAAATTCATTTACAGCAGGGGTCTCCAAACTACAGCCCGCGGGCCGGATGCGGCCCGCGAGGTCCTCTCATCCGGCCCGCGGAGATCTTTTTATCTACGGAAAAAAACGTTTGTTGGTGATAGTTGAGGAACTTTGCCCAGAAAAATCAAAGACATGCCTGGAAGAAACTGGCCCCCGAACTGAACTTTGATAGTTTATGCGGCCCTCGGGCTGAAAAGTTTGGAGACCCCTGATTTACAGAAAAGAAGTTTTTGCAATAAACTATGAGAATATGTTAAGAATAAGATGCAGTAATTTGGTTTCTGATAACTAAAATGAACAAATAAATTTTTATTTAAATAATTTATAATATTACATATTGGTTGTACTAAATGTTAGCGCTGAGTTCAAATTAATTTTTTGTGGCATTACCTTCCACTAGAATCTTGCTTAAATAAATCTGGATTGTGCTCCATCAATGTCATGATTACTTTGCCATGGCCTTGAAATGATGCACAGTGAAGCGGGGTCCACAAGGTTCCACTATTAGAGGCATTTATGTCTGCTCTATAATACATTTTTTAAAATTATATAAACTTCCAGTATTTCTAATTATGCAATTATGCATAGATCCTACCTTTCATCCTTTCAAACTATAATCATATATCAGATACGGAAAAGAGTAGCTAGGGGGGAGGGGTGGTCCGTAATTATGTGACGATGTGTGATGAGGGGGAGGGGGGGGGGGGGGTTTCATATGTTGCGACGTCACATTTTTGCATTATAAAAAAGCAATGTTAGAAAACGAATTTTAGACATTATTTCGCATTTTAGATAACTGTTTTAATAAATTGTAATAGTTTAGACAAGATTTTCGAAAAATATCGATGTTTTAAAAAAATTCAACTGCAATTTTGAGGGGTGTTGTAGGTTGAGGTGTGACGTCATTTTAGGGGGGGGTCTGGCTTTTTGCAACAACGTGTGACGGAGGGAAGGAGGGGAGGTAACAATCGTCAAAAAAGCATAACGTCATTTATGGATGACCCCCTAGATAAGTGTTATGAACCTTTCTAATGTCAAGCCCTAACAGAGAAACCTGATTATTTTAATAATAAATAATAATAATACTGTATTTTTAAAAAACATGTTTTAAGAAAAAGGCCTTTATCTTATCATTGTAGAATGAGTGCCTATTTCTTAAATCTTACCCATTTTGAATAAGAAGTCCAACTATGTTATCATAACCCCAGAATGATGCAATGGCAAGTGGTGTCATGCCATCTCTTGACTTTTTATTGGGATCTTCTCCTCTTTCCAACAATTGCTGGACTAACTGTGAATGATACATTCCTAAAAATACATTTCCTGCCATCTGGGTATATTATATTATTAGATTTAACTGTGATTTTACACTATAATGTAAATACTAAATAAATAGGCAAATAGCCTAAACTAAATGTCATAATGGCTAATTAACATTCATTAAGTCAAACAAAATCAAATCAATAAAAGTCAGTGTTTTTTTTTAAACTTAGAAATATAGTGTACAGTGTAGTGTACATTATATGTCATATGATTCATATAGTAAGTAGACTGTATAGATTTAGTAGTAGTAGTACAAGTGTTTACTGAATAGTACTTGTAGTTTACTCGGTTTAATACAGTCAGAGGTGACTGAGTGTAGCCAGTGGTCACTGCCTGACTGGGTAGTCAGTGTAGTGACTAGATCTAGTAGTAGTGTAGTCGTAGTGTTACTCACTTACTGTGTTGTACAGTGTACACTATTCAGTGACAACTGTGTACACTACGACGGTAGACTACGAGTACACTACATTCACTGTGTCATGTGTATGTCGTAGTAGTAGTGTGGTGTGTAACACTAGGCCTATGGCCTAGGGCTCACTACTACACACTAGGCACTGGAGGTGACTAGCGAGACCAGACTATGTCTATGTTACTAGATCTAGAGATCTATATGCCTACTACTACTACATTAGTCCATTTTTTTAAATTTTAGAATCGAATTATTGTTCAACTGTATTTATTACAAGCGGCAGTAAAAATATTTAAATGTTAAATAAACTACAGCTCACACTAAAGTCTCCCGCTCCGGCTGCTGCATCAATTGAGACTGGCGCCGCCATATTGCGGTTGCGAAGAGATTGGACGCAGATATTTCTAACGTCAACTTCGCAAGCTGAAGAGCGTAGACGCAGTTCTCTCGCCTGTCGAAGGCGGGACTTGCACTGGAGCATATCGTGTAGGCGGAGCGTATGCACCGTTTTCTATGCAAAATTCATGACAGCGTCGCTTTGATAACTTCAAGTGAACACCACACTTCAATGCTCAATTCATATTGCAAATCTGTACAGAGAGGGAGGTGTATTAAGGTGTGCTGCTGTTGTAAACACAAAATGACGTTTCTCTAGCAGCAAAGAAGTTTTAAAATGCTGACATTCATCGGAGTAAAAATTACTATGTTCAATTTTTGCTCTTTGTGACTATACTGCAGATGCACAATGTGGTTATTAAACAAGGATATCGTTGATTAATGGAGATCTCAGGGCTCTGTGTAAAATATGATCGTGTACTATTCCATACCGGCTTTGCTAGCTGCACTGTGCTACATGAACGGACAGCACGGGGATTTCGTGCACGACGACGTGATGGCCATTTCTCACAATCGTGACGTCACCGGTCAGTCTGACGTAGTGGAGGTGTTCTACCATGACTTCTGGGGACAGCCCATGTGGGACCCATCCAGCCACAAGTCGTACAGGCCACTGTGTGTATTATCCTTCAGGTAAGTGGGGCTTTTTTTACTCATTCGTTATTAGGGGTGTGGGATAAAAGGATGAGGGGGAGGGTGTCCATAAATATTGTGACGTCACATTAAGGAAGGGGTGATGTGGGTAGATGAAAGACGGGAAAGACGGGATTGGGGTTAAAGTGGGCTTGTATTGTGTCATTTATGACATCCCTGTCAATAAAGCTTGCCATTGTTTTAAGGGTTGTCGCACTCAGGTGGGGGGGGGGGGGTGCATGAGGAGGGAATCTTAAGTGACGTCATATTTACGGCATCATTGGCCAGTACATGGGTCAGTAACATGGGTCAGCACAAGCGGTAGTGCTATGGGACAGCAACATGGGTCAGTATCAACGGGCATCAAGATGGGTCAGCAACATGGGTCAGCACATTTGGTCAGCAACCAGCAACATGTGTCTCCACCATGTCCTGTCCTATATTCACATCCTGCCACAGGACCTGTCCGCTCATAAATAATGGTAACACGAAAAACAAGGGGGTGGTGATGTAAGGGGTCATCCATAAATGACGTCACGCTTTTTGACGATTTTTACCTCCCTCCCCTCCGTCACACGTCGTCACAAAAAGCTAGACCCCCCCCCCCCCAGAGTTTCTTCCAGGCATCTCTTCGGGGGGGCGAAGCCCCCCCGAAAATTTTTTTACCGCCCCCCCCCCCCCGAACGAAATGAAATTTATATAATTTATATAGAAAATATATACTTTTAGCAGTGTCCGCCCCCCCCCCCGAAGAAAGTTTACCGCCCCCCCCCCCCCCCGAAGATTTCAAGTGCCCCCCCGGAGAAAAAAGTCTGGAAGAAACACTGGACCCCCCCCCCCCTAAAATGACGTCAAAACTGCTGTTGAATTTTTAAAAAATCTATTTTCGTTTTGTAAAATATCAACAGGATTTCTAACCATAACTTAACTTCTCCTTCACCGCAGGGGCATTGAAAAAAACAACTGACAACTCGATAAATAATAGCAGAACATGATCGTACACTCAACTCAGAGCCTGTTATCTGAAGATTTTAAAATCAACATCCAATACCGTTTTTATTTAAAATCACGTGACATGTGTCCCAGATAAGTTGACACCGATCGTCTGCTTAAAAACCAACTCCCCCGCTGTTGGTTTGGTTCTTTTAAAAACAGGTTTTAGTTTTCGGTTCAATGATATTCTTATCTCCTTAGCCCAGGGGAGAAAACTCCGAACCACCGAGTATTTGCGCTTATCACCCCCTTGATCAAGCGCATTAATCACGCCTCCCCGACATTAGGGGTTATAACTGAAAATTAAAATTTGCATAATCCCTTACATAAAGCCATGGATCTTGAAGCTTTTCTTGCGATGTGCGTGTATAAGTGTAGCTAAAAAAAAATAAAGGAAATACTGCTTGTTATAGAGCTAAGGAGTAGGTTTATCTGTCAGTTATTTTTACATCTTGAATGTTCACCATTTGAAAAGGTTTATCTAAACAGGTGTATTTTAAAACGTTGTCTACTTGATTATAACAGGTCCATCCATAAATACAGTCATGCTTTGTTGACAATTTTTACCTCCTCCCCTTTCGTTACACATCGTCACAAAAAGCCAGACCACCCCCACCCTCAAATGACGTCACCCTCAAAATTGCAGTCGTTTTTTTTCCTCTAAAACTTTGATTTCTTTCAAAAATATTTACTGAGCTCTGTCAACATTGAGTAAATTTTGCGATCTTTATTTGATCGTGAAATAACAGCAAAAATTTTGTTTCTAACATTACTTTTTAAAACTGCAAAAGTGTGTCGTTTACTTTCTAACAATACTCACCCCCCCCCCCCCCCCAATCGCCAATGGATATCTCCAGCTGTAAAGTTAAGCGAGAAGCATTCATTCCTTGCTTTTAGGTTCGACTACTCCGTACATACAAGTCTTACTTTCAGGTTCGACTACTCTACTAATTTTTACTTTCAGGTTCGACTACTCTACTAATTTTTACTTTTAGGTTCGACTACTCTACGCATTTTATACTTTCAGGTTCGACTACTCTTCACATTTTATACTTTCAGGTTGGACTACTCTACACTCTACACATTTTATACTTTCAGGTTCGACTACTCTACACATTTTATACTTTTAGGTTCGACTACTCTACACATTTTTTTACTTTCATGCTCGACTACTCTACACATTTTATACTTTCAGGTTGGACTACTCTACACGTTTTTTTACTTTCAGGTTCGACTACTCTACACATTTTACACTTTCAGGTTCGACTACTCTACACATTTTTTACTTTCAGGTTCGACTACTCTACACATTTTTTTTTACTTTCAGGTTGGACTACTCTACTCATTTTATACTTTCAGGTTCGACTACTCTACACATTTTATACTTTCAGGTTCGACTACTTTACACATTTTTTTTTACTTTCAGGTTCGACTACTCTACACATTTTATACTTTCAGGTTCGACTACTCTACGCATTTTAAACTTTCAGGTTCGACTACTCTACAGATTTTGTACTTTCAGGTTCGACTACTTTACACATTTTTTTTACTTTCAGGTTCGACTACTCTACACATTTTATACTTTCAGGTTTGACTACTCTACGCATTTTAAACTTTCAGGTTCGACTACTCTACAGATTTTGTACTTTCAGGTTGGACTACTCCCTCGGCGGCGGCAGCTCAACATGGTTTCACCGTGTCAACATCCTTCTGCACGTGCTGGTCACGTGTCTGGTGACGCACGTGTCTCTCAGTGTGCTACAGGCTCCGGCTGTGACCTCGACCCTGGCGGCGTCACTGTTTGCGGTCCACCCAATCCACACGGAAGCTGTAAGTTCACATTGTATTTTCTCCCATCCTGCACTTACGTGGAGCTTTGTAAAAGAGGTCGTTTCTAAATCACATCCCAACAGTTTTTATCCAGGCATCTCTTCGAACAAAATAGAATTAAACAGAAAATATATAGTTTAACCTGTGTGCCCCCCTCCCATCGGAAATTTTAGTCCGCCTCCCCGAAAATTTCAAGTGTTCCCCCCCCCCTCACCCCTCGAGAAAAAAAAGTGGAAGAAACACTGCTTCCCAAGTGTGGGGCTCAACATTTTGTATTTCAAACAGTTATTTTTAGACTGAATTTTAGCAGATATTTTACATTTTTACGTAAGCTCCATAGTTTCTGTGAACACGATGTGCACTCTCTCTTCCCCCCCCCCCCCCCCTCCCCGACATTAAACAAATGGTCTGTAAACCTGCATAACGCTGCGAAAGGGAGAATACGAAATTCGACTCTTTTTTTTTTTGTCGTTTTTCTAAAGAACTCCATTCAGCAGTAAGAGTCTATTCATACAAGACATTTAATATGCATGAGGCATTTTAATAATTTATTTTTTTACTTCCTACTTGTGCATATCTTGACTACTCATATCATGACATAATGTTTTAAACTAGTCGATAATCATCGGATTATTAGCCTAATTTAGCCACTGCACGCTGAGAAACTTTTAGAAAATTTGAATGATATCCTTTTTACGACAAATTCTGTATTATTTAAGAATATTTGTTTAATTTTAACCACCATCACACATTATTCGATTTTGACTTGATAGGCCTAAACTCATTTTGTCCAAAACAATTGGACCAACTCTAGATAACATTCGTTACATGTGGTGCTTCTTTAGCTTTCAAAATTGTTCTTCTTTCTTGCACTGCGAATAGCTGCACATTGTATGTCTAAAACAGTATACTGCAAGCATAGTCTATATATATATATATATATATATATATATATATATATATATATATATATATATATATATATATATATATATATATTACAGCATAACTAAACCCGTCAAGGCAGACTGTTAAGGCAAAACACTAAAAAATTTAAATAAAACACACTAAATTATTTAAACTACAAAAAACAAGTTCATCGTGTTTTAACAAGAACCGAATTATTTTAAAAAAAAATAACTGAGAGAATGAATTGAATTTCTGATTTTTGAATTTGTTCAATGATTTATTGACTCAATTTTTCCCCACAAACTTAAATCCTGACACGCATGACTGGTTCTGGTGAATGCTTGCCCCAACTGAAGCTTGTAATCTGGGTCTAATTAGCGTCTGACGGACTGGTACAGACGGTAATTCAGGTTCACCTGGTCCAGGTAGTAACCTAGTTCAGGTAGTTCCGTACGGCCCATTGTAAGACCCATAGTCTGGGTCTAAATAATCTCTAAAGAACCGGTATATCAATACGTGCAGCTGGTTCGTATCTGTCACTAGGTTCGGGAAGTCAATCCCTGTAGCCACCTAGTCCAGGTAGCCACTTAGTCCAGGTAGCCACTTAGTCCAGGTAGCCACTTAGTCTAGGTAGCCACTTAGTCCAGGTAGCCACCTAGTCCAGGTAGCCACTTAGTCCATGTAGCCACCTAGTCCAGGTAGCCACCTAGTCCAGGTAGCCGCTTAGTCTAGGTAGCCACCTAGTCCAGGTAGCCACCTAGTCCAGGTAGCCACTTAGTCCAGGTAGCCACCTAGTCCAGGTAGCCACTTAGTCTAGGTAGCCACCTAGTCCAGGTAGCCTTTTAGTCCAGGTTGCCACCTAGTCCAGGTAGCCACCTAGACCAGGTAGCCACCTAGTCCAGGTAGCCACCTAGACCAGGTAGCCACCTAGTCCAGGTAGCCACCTAGACCAGGTAGCCACCTAGTCCAGGTAGTCACCTAGTCCAGGTAGCCACTTAATCCAGGTAGCCACCTAGTCCAGGTAGCCTTTTAGTCCAGGTAGCCACTTTGTCCAGGTAGCCACCATCTAGGTAGTTCTGATGTTTCACTACTGCCATCGTGAAAGGCAATGAATCATTGACTTTGAATAACATTTATTTATAGAAATTATGTCAGAATTGTGTCATATCTATCTCCTGTGTGGCCTTGACATTTAACACATCTGATTGACGCATGTAGACAGAGGCGTAGCTAGGGGAGGGCGGGGAGGGCGGCCGCCCCGGGCGCCGACCCTAGGGGGGCGCCAAAAGGGGTAGAAAAAAAATTAAAAGCTCATTTCAAGCTGCAGTTTTGAGTTATAAACAGTCAAAGTAAAGAAATGTAACTGCTGAGAGCCTTTGCATACTGATTTAACTGATTTCTACCTTGATTGTGTAACTGTAAAACTTTATCTTTAAGAAACAGTGACCGGAAAAACTGCTTTCCAGATTTCCCAGATGGGGAGGGGGGGGGGGGGGCGCTTTTTCGAAGACTAAAATCGGAAAAATTCACACCGGATTAAGGAATAAATAACCGATATCACTCAGAAAAGAAACCAATTGAACTAAAGCGTATTTTACGATTGTGTAACATAAAAAAGAGTTACTAAATAACTCTTTTAACATTTAGAAAAGAAATCAATTGTATTAACACTTAATGTACGATTTCACTACCCAGTTTTGCTAAGTAACAACGCGACTAGTTCTTTGTACGATTCTTACGATTCTCTCAAAAACTTGATCGTGAGAGATCAGATACTTTTACTTGATTGCATTACATCTTGCCTGGATCACTGCATTAAAGAAAAATAAATATAACGGATTCTTGTATCGCTATCCGATCAGTAAAATAGCAGACTGTCGGAGCGGGTGGATGGGAAGCGACACTCTTTGCCAAAATTTTAAGAGAGAAGAAAATTAGTATATTCTACTGATTATTACTTTGTTCAACATAACTGATAATTCAAAATTGCAATATTGGCCTACTATTATCGAAATTGTTCTAAAGACACGACAAAAAGTAGACCAAATAAGGCTTGCACCTTCTACAAAATACACCGAACCCCACCAGTTTCATATGCGAAATCACCGAACCCTCCTTATTAATAGTTGTATCGTCCACAATAACAAAATCCGATCGTGAATCCTATGAGTCGGGTGTCTGTCTTGACCTCCGCGGAAGCCCTGAGACTGAATTACCGAACCTCTCGGGTTCGGTGGAGCCCACTGATTTAAGCTCTTATGATTTTCCTACTTTTTATTCGTTTCGGCATCTTAAGGGGAATTTGATTGGCGTCCAGTGAAGTTTTAGGGAAGGACAATCAGCGTAATTGTTAATTTTTTTCCAGATTTTCGCACACACAAACACAC